CGTATGCCCGGGGCCAGGGCTGGCACCGGCATGTGCGGCACACCAGGGCTAGGGCCGGCACCGGCATGTGCTGCGACCCCGGGCAGGGGCCGCCCAGGCGCCATGCGCCCGGGGCCGGCACCAGCACCAGCATGTTCCGTGACCCCAGGCAGGGGCTTTCCAGGTGCCTGGGGCCGGCACCGGCATGTGCCGTGACCCCGGGGCAGGGGGCGCCCATGCACCCAGAGCTGGCACCTGCTGCATGCCCGGGGGCGGGGCCAGCGCCAGCCCAGATTGCTCCGTGGGAGCACATAAATGGCCCGGCGGGTGCAAAGGCGCCCGCGGGCACCACGTTGGGGACCACTGCACTAGACTTATGTTAGCACAGCAGACGGTGCCCTTTTTAACATGCAGAGCATTGAGAAAATTTTTATAAGTACCTTTGGAAAGGCTAAGGAAGAGTGAGCTCATCTGAAAAACTGACATCTATAAATATTTGGATGAAAGAACACCCAGCACCCTTGAATAGTACAGAACTGCCTGACAAACACGATAAACTCTGACATGCAGTTCTAAAGGGATACTGAAGCTTTCATTAGTCTGATGGCAGAGGTTCATTATGGCTGGTTATCAACTTGTTGGTGTTTTTCCAAGCTTCTAAGGTTGTGAAGATGTTTATATTTCATTAAATGCACTTATTAAATGTACTGTTTCTGAATGAAATTTTGGAGTTCTTGCTATAACATTGCACCTTTCTTAAGGTCACAATTTTGGAATGATTGTGCACTAGCTTCTAGCTATGCTATATCACCAAGTTTGGTCAGCATGTGAGCAATTCCCAACTACACACTAATGCAAGGTAGTGTGGGACTGAATGGAAAAAGATGTCCAATGTTGAGAAAAGCACTTGAAAGAATTTGAATTTTTTAAAAAAATGTATTGTGAAAGAACCACCAGAGAGAGAATGTCTACTGAAATCTGGTGTCTGCTGCTGAATGAAGAGCCAGCCCTGTGTTATGTGGTGACAAAGCACACAGGAGAATTTGTGGTCAGCATTCAGCCTCTTTACAAGAGCCATTGGAGAAAAGTGTCATACCAATAATGTGGAAAGGATGAGACCCACTGTGCTCTTGGAGCTTACAGATCCATAGAGTATAATTTAAAGTGATTTCACATTCATGGCATTTCTTCTACATCCCCAGAGGGCAGAAGTTTGCTGTGGTAATTGCATAGAAGTGGGCAAAATATTTGCAATCTCTTAAGTTTTCCAATTAAAAAGGGACACATTTTCACTAAAGGGTGTTCCCTTCCAACTAACTGCAATTTAAAGAATTGTTTTAGAAAGGCTTTAACAAAATAATTTTTCAACCTGTAGAAAGCTTTGCTGGGAAGTTCTGCTTCTTCCGTTCAGGAAATTGTTAATAGGGCTAAGAAACACAGCATTTGTTGAAAGAAATTCTTTATAGCAAAGCTGTCACAGAAAGAAGAATCATTGTTTTTACCAGAATCATTATTTTTACATGTCGCATTGTGTGATTTGGGCTGGCCGGTATTTTGTTTTATCAGCTTGGCACCTGATGTATGTGGATGTGGGGGGAATGGCAGGCGAGCAGAGCGGCATTTAAAGGGGCTGCTTTTTTTTTTTTTTTTTGCTCAGGGGGTTGCCAGTACAAAAAGGTTTAGACTGTAGGAATACATCTACACTGAAAGCTTATTTCAAAATAAGCTCTACACTCTAGGGAAGCCTCAAAATTAGTCTGAGGCAGGCTTCCCTAATGTAAACATGCTATCTTGATTTAGAGCCCCAGGAGGCACTGGGGAGGAATAATTTAGAATGGCCCTGGTGAGGGGCTATTTAGAAATAGCAGAAGTGGAGTGTCTACACACACCTTATTTCGAAATAGCTATTTTGCAATACAAGCAATCCCCACACTTATGACCTAATTGATTCCTAGAGAACTCTCATAAGTCGAGCCATTGTAAGTCGAATCCTTATTTCCCATAGGCGCAATGCTATAAATGACGGTTCTGTTCCTGGAAATCCATTTCATACCCTAAAAATACCAAAATTGACTATGGAAATGGAGGAAAACTAAACTAAATAGTTTAAATAATGCAGAAATATAACTAAAGAGTGAAGACCGATGTGGTGGAGACGCATGCAGTTCAAGCAGCAGCTGTAGACTGGTGAGTCTGGACTAACTTTGTATGTTTCCTGTTTTGGGATGATGCAAGGGAAATGTGGATGCAAGACAGAGGCGACCTACTGTGGGACCTGGGAGAACATCTCCCTGAGGGCCTCTCAGATGTGCACCCCATAGTGGTGGGCCTGCCGAATGGCAGCTGTCCCGGGCTGCTCGAACTGCCTGCCATCCACCCCACACAACATGCTGAGACCACATCCAGGATATTCTGTTCACCCATGTCAAGACGGGTGAGCAGACAACGGAATCTCGCCTTCAGCCAGCCAAAGGCGCACTCCACCTGGTTGCGGGCCCTGTTTAGGTGCAGGTTGAATAGTTCCCAGCTGAGGTCCATGCGTCCGGTGTATGGCCGCATCAGCCACAACTTCGGGGGTAGGCCGCGTCCCCCACGATGCACAGTGGCATGCAGACATCCCCAACCATCAATTCCCGCTGGGGGTAGAAAGTGCCTGCCTTCAGCCTACAAAACAGGCTGGAGTTTCGGAGGATGTGGGTGTCATGTGCCCTGCCCGACCACCCCACATTAATGTCTGTGAAGTGGCCACAATGGTCCAAGAGGGCCTGGAGCACCATGGAAAAGTACCCCTTCCGGCTGATGAAGTGGGCTGTTCGATGCTCCGGTGCTCGGATGAGGATGTGGGTCCCATCCTCGGCTCCCTGCAGTTGGGGAACTCCAGGGCAGCAAAGCCAGCCACAGTTGCATCCATGTCATGCAGGCAGATGACCCTCGAGTAGGATGTCGTTGATGGCTCTGACAGCCTGCAGAAGGGCACACAGAATGAGACAGGGTGGATGCATGAGCCCTTGGGGGATGTCTGCCTCCCTCTGATGGCCTCTGTCCTCAAACATGCCAGGGCCCTCTTGCCCTGGAGGTTCCCCCCCAACAGCAGGCCTATGTGAGGGAGGGACGGCACAACCGCCTGGGTGACGTGGCTTCCCCCCCCCCCCCCCCCTGGCTTCATCCT